TTATTTTAACTAATATTTAATAACATCACTATAATCATTATTGTTGTTGTTTATTGTTCTAATCATCATTTACATATTTATATAGGAATAAATGTAAAAAATATATTTATTTAGCACTTGACGATCTGAAAAATTTTTCCTAGTTACACGGCTTTATTTTCAATAGATTTATTTTACCTATTTTATATAAATTTTGAATTGGGAAAAAACATACAAATATGGGAACTCGAGGTTTATATTGCTTCTTGTATAAAGGAGTATATTATATAATCCACAATCATTGGGACTCATATCCTAAAGGGTTAGGAGAAGCTCTTCTTAGACAACTTCAAGGATTTAGTTTGGAAGAATTACGTGAAAGATTGGTAAATAGTATTATTGTGTGCGATGAAATATATCCAGAACTTGCACCAGAATTTGTAGATAATTTTCGAACATTCATCATACAAGACGAGCCTTATTTTGAATCTTGGTTATGTCGTTCTTCCATCTATATAAAAGATAATGAGACAGGAAACCTTGAAGCCATTATTAGGCGTAGCTCAGGAGCATTTTACACCTGGATGTGTAAGACATATGACTCTTCAGAAGAAAAATGGTCCTTCTTACTAAGAAGACTTTTTTCTGTAGATGGACTTTGTCTAAAAAAGGCATTATCTTTAGGTTATTTGCTCCTTGAAGAATCTCCAACTAATGAAGCTCCAGAGATTGATTGTAGTAGTGATATTAAATGGATATATATTATAGATTTAGATCATGAAAGGTTCTTGGTGAAAAATAAACAAGATGTTGTATGGGAATTCGAACTTCAAAAATTATTGATGGATATTAGTGATCCAGAAAAGTCATTGGTGAAGAAGTTGATTTAATATATTTAATATATTGAATAAATTAGATGAAATAGAAAGAAAAACATAATACAAAGAGTATAACACCTATCATGAAAGAAACAAAAAAAAATAAATACAATTTCTTCAACCAGTGCTATTAACAAGTTGAAAGAAACTATTTTTTTCTATCATTACAAGTGTTTATAATTATTTTATTAGTTTTATAAAATAATGCATTTGTATATTTTATTGCTGTTTGACACTAATTGTTGGTAAAGCTGTTGTCCAACAAGTTTATTAACGCTGTTCAATAGCATTAATCTTGGCCTACCCTGTCATACTTACATCCCGTTACGAAATTGTGAACTGTCATTCATGTCATATATAATTTTTTTTTATATACATTATTAGAAGTTGCCTTTTTCGGTTGCTTGCTTTTGTCATCGGAATGCGAATTTACCTTAATTCGCTGATCAATAACCCCGAAAATCCGGAATAATATCATATTATTCTATATTATTTATATTATTAACTTATTATTTTTAGTTATCTATTATTTATTTTTAGTTATTTATTTTATTTTTAAATTTTATTATTAATTTTCCGAATAGTTAAATGAGCTCGTGTTACATCTGCAGATTTAATTAATTCGTAACACGCTAGCATTAGACCTTTATTTAGCATTACCGCTGATTTATTTTATTTTTTAAAAAAATTTCCCCTAGTTGATCATCTCAAATTAATGACACTATAAACTCACATGACCCAAACAGTTAACAATAACATTCCTTCTGCAATAGCTAAACTCACTAGGATAACTATTAAAAACGAACAATTATGTAAAATATACTGTATGTTTTATTTTTAATTTAGCATATGTTTTTTTATTATAATCAGCACAACAAATTATAATTAATAAATTTTTGTTGAATGGTAAATAAAGAAAAACCTTGGCATTTAATCAACGCCCCAAGTAATAATCATATGAAATCTAAGGTCTTCTGAAGCAATAATTCATGACGCGGGGCATAATAATAATTCGTGATTCAAAACATAATTCGTGAACACAAGACATATAGTTTGTGACGCGAAGCATAGTTTGTTAATTCTTATTATAATAATAAAGGAAGACCCTAATTGTAATCAGCAAGAATTATGTAGTATAATTTGATGAAAAATTTTTATTAGAAGAATATTATAAATTATTATTGTTACCTAAATCTATTTAAACATAACGTTTAACTTATTGCATTGCATATTGTCTCATTTCCTCTACCATCTACAATTTTTATTTCCTTCTACATCTCCTCTACCTTCTGATCGTGTACATATACAATATGTAAGAAAATAGCTTTATTATTCTCATAAATAATATTTAATGGCACATTCTTCTAACCCCAAATATTCATTTAAAATTTTCTTTGCTACTTCTTTAAAAACACATATATATTACCTATCAACACTTGTTAAATATTTGAACAAATACAGCTTCATGATAAACTAGAATAAATTTCATCCATCCTCTTCATCCTCTTCTATTTTTTGTAATAGTAACACTCCAAAAACCAGATATAATTTCATAATGTTGACACAGATTGCATTTATAATTTAATTCTAATTTAAAATAAAAAATAAAACTATTAGATTAAGAAGCTAGAAGTTGCCAGCTATGTTTAAAATACTTAGACTTGAATTTGGTTCATTTTTATAAATATGTATGTATTTATATATATATTTACGTTTATAGATCAGTTATTTGACTATTTCTATAGGAATTGGTGGTCTTTTTATTATTATAAAACTTACCCTGGGAAAGAGTATATAGCAGAAATAAAAATAAAAAATTTTCCGAAGAAAAATAAGTTTTTATCAGCAAAAAAAAATTTATTTTACTAAAAAAAATGATATAGTGAATCCATTAATTTTATAATCATTGAACTTTCTTGTAAAAGGTTTTGGTATAAAAAATTAAAAAAGATTAAACATAAATTTTATATGCTAAATCATTTATCTTAGTTAAAATGTCTAACGATAATTGTTGATAAGTTCTTCTAAATCATTAGTTTCAGCTACCAAAGCAACTTCTTGAATAAAATCTAGTCCCTTATAACAATCTTAGGAATAATTTGCAAAAAAAAATCACAAACTTATAATAAAGATTGAATTTTGGAGTTACATTGTGTCAATGATAAAAAATGAATGCAATTTATATTTTTAGTGAATATAAAATCAATCAGCTAATACACTATTTATTATTATTAAAAAATTGGCTCCATTCTCAAATTTACTAATATTATTATTGGGGCGCAAATAGTCAGTTTTATTAATATTAATATTAATTATTTAGACTTTATCAATTTAGAATTTCAGCATCAATTTAGGCTTTTGACAATATTTAGACTTTCAACATTTCGACATATTTAGACATTACTATTACGGCAAATCCAGTGACCTTGTCAAATATATTTCGACAGTCGAATGTTTGTCAAAACTATACCTTTTGACTAACAACTCCAATGCCACTGAACTCTGGACTAAAATTCCAGACGTAAAAATGAATGATAAGAGATATTTGTTTTATCATCTTAACTTAACCGGTCCTTTCCAATTTTGCCTTGTTCACTTTCATCAAGCTGTAAGACATACCCAAGCGGACAAAACTGTGTGAATATTTATAGTAATGTAATTATTTGGACATTTATTTTTACTTTTGCCTGCAATTTGGACACGTTAAACAAATTTCCACATATATGAATATAAATTCAAATTTGAATTTAAGGCTGAGATCATTTTCGGTTTGTTAACAACTTGCTTCAAATTTTTTCTTAAAGCAGATACACGTGATAAAGAAGTCATGTGTGGCAATGGCTACCAGGAAATAAAACTCCCATCGGTCTGCAGGACACGAAGAACTTGGCGCAGCGTTGTATAACAATAAATGATTTCATGGTTTGAATGTGCTCACATAGCGTACACATTCGTAAACTTGAATTTTATCTTGATTGCTTGAAAGATGGACAGGAACGTCGTGGTTGAATGTAGAAGCTTGAATTTCATGTGCTGAAATGGCCTGAGAGGAATGTCTCTATGTTAGTGTTACAAAAAAAATGTGGGACGGCTGTCCTATTCATATGTTTCGATTTTAATAAAATAGACCATTGTCTTGGCCTGAATGATGTCATTTTTTTGCTTTTTGCTAAGGAGAAGATGCAATCCAAAACCAACTTAACTTTGGTGTTAACGTGATCTTAAATAAATGAATTTTTTGATCTCGCGTAGCACGGCAAAGTGATTGTGTAATACATAAAAAGGCAAAAGCTCGCATTACGCTCTCAGTTGTAAGCTTGTTTTAATAACAAACAAATAAATGATTATTAATTATTAAGTTAAGTTTGGATGGAAAGTCTATGTTCAGTTTGTTATAAAAAACCTTGTCAATCTTGACCAAACAAAGAAATATATTCCATAAAAAACATCAACCATTCTTATATATATGTGTGTATATATTAGCTTTAGCTTTACAAATATATTCAAAGTTTTAATTAAATTTAATTGAGGAAAAATAAGAATATTGTTTATGACGATCTTAAAAATTGGAAATCCAAAATTTATTGATCATGCTATAGAAGTAGGTAAACAGATTTCTTTTATTTTAGAATTAACATAACAACTACATAGTCAACCCTGTTAAGCCAAAGTTGATTCTAGAAACAGTAAGTGCACCTGTTAAACCAAATTTACCAAATAATTTTGACGGAATAACAGGGTTAACCATGTGGTTTGTGGCCTGATATTAGACCATATAAATTAACTAGAACAAACAAAGGAAAAATTTATTATTTATCAAAAAAGAAAGAAATAAACTTTAAAGTACATAAATATGATTGATTTTGGACTGAAATTGATTTATCAAAAAAAATTGCAACATTAAAATTATTAAATTTATACATTTAATAATGTTATTTTGAATAAATTCTAAAAGCAATGCCGTTTAAATTGACTACTACTTGTGTGGTTGACTCTAAGAATGGTTGACTAAATTACTGAATTTAGTTAATTGACGAATTGTACATGACGAAATTCATATTTATTGCCAAGGATCTTTTGACGAGATATTGACATGACAAAATTTGACGAAATTGACGAAAATTGATTTAGCCAATCAAATCAGATACATATATTGATTGTTTTTATATAGTGCAAACATTTCAGCCAATATATTAACATCATGCATCAACTTTGGACAAGGATAGTGATGGGAAAATTGCTGGTAATATGTAATTACCATATCAACCGATTTGTTTTTTGGGCCCTTCTTTAAACCCTACACACACATGCAAACTCTTCGATAGGTCGGTCATTTATTTATTTTAAAAAATTGATTGTTGCATCCGACATAATGAGCTTACATGTATATCTTATTGTGTGTGTGTAATTGATCACTAGAGTGATAATTAACCCTAAAAAATTTATTTGCTCCGCCAAAAAAAAACTATTTCAATAGCCCGTCAAACCAACGGCACTACCTTAAAACCAATGGATTATTGCTAGTATAAGGTATTCATAACGCTATGTTCATACCATACTGAATTTTGAGGTTCAAACAAAATCGAAGCATATGCTCAAAGTACATTTTTTGAGAATCTAGGGTTTTAATAATTTTATTAATTGTGTTATACAGTACATGGCATTTTATATAGCAATTTAATATGTAGAGTAACGTTGTGTATTTACCATGATGATTATTCTCAATTCTTTCTTATCATAATGATAATACAAAGGGTTCCGAATCTAAATCATTTTTTTGGTGACATCACTATACTGATATATATAAACTCAATATTTAACCATATTTTGATCATTGGTTATGAAAATTTGGTCAGTTGAATTGGCCAACTTCAATTTCGTCAATTTCGTCACATTTCGTCAGATGCAACGAAATTAACAACGGTTTGACGAAATAATTCCCCATGCAAAGTATTTCGTCAACCATTCTTAGATCAATCATTAACGCCAAAAGAACAAAATTAATTATTTCG